TCGACATTTCACGACGCGAGGCATCAATTGTGGCAACATACAGTTTAGTAAGGAAGCGACGAGTCGTGAAGCGTCGAATAAAACACATCGAGTCGGAGCGAAAATTACCCAAAGATGTCTGTTATCTACTACTGCTTTAAATCTATCAAAACATGGTTTAAGAATAGTCGGTTTGTTTTCGTCGACATATCCGTCACAAAAGGGAACTCGTGAAGCTATTGTAGTCCTACATGGGTAACTTTTTCGCTTCTCCGTCTCAACAAAACTAATAATGATAAAAAAAAACACTCTAAGTACACCTGGTTTGCTCATAATAAAAACATAAGAATAAGAGAAATTTTATAAGTGATTTATAAGTAAGTGCAGTAAGCAAGTAACGTGTGCCTGTATGTTTTAATTGTTTTAAAGCACCATTTACATCATTGCATTTCCGGTGTGTTCCAAGCCCATTTCCGGTTTACACAGAAAGTGTTTTCATGGAAATCAGGCACATAAATCGTAATGCAATTTGTTGTCTTTGTTATTTATCGTGCGATTAGGAAGAAGTAAGCTACAAGGACAAGTTACTGATTTATTTATCTAAAGTGCAACAAATTCACGATGGCTACCAGACAAAATGCGAAAGCACACTGTAAATATCATAATTGAATGAGCTAGCTAGATCACATTGCCGTGAACCTCGAAAGCATCTGACTTACAATTTTGTTTATTTAAACACTCTCAGGTTGTTGATTTAACTTGTGTCCGTTTTCTTGTAGAATACAGAAGCGAATTGAGAAATCACTAGCTGCCACAGTATTAGTTTGTTATACAGAGTTACATATTTGAAAAGTGGTACTTAGAGCACGCTTGCACACTGAATATTTCGCTTCCAAAATCAGGTAATTCTGTGTTTACTTTTTACAAAGTCACAATTGATGAATTGTGGGGAAATAATAGAAATTATTTTAAAATAATATGTTTGCTAGTTTCACGTTCACCACTTACTCGATCTACTGCTAGTCTACTGCTTATCCATACGGAACAAAGTCAACTTACATTACTTGTATAAAGATTCTCCTACCTTTGAATGCCATGATTGTTGTCCTCGATCTCTTAATGCTTGATGTCTGAACTATTAATTCAGACTAAACTCGAGTCTACTCGAAATAATCTCTTTCACGGGAATCAACAAGAACAGAAGGGAAATTTCCCTAATGGCAACGTCGACGCTGCGATTGGTTGAATGGTCGACATCCGTTTATTCTCGGAAACCTTGGGCGCCCTAAGCGACCAGCCGGATCAATTTTTTTTTCTTTTTCTTTTTACCAAGAAGTAGGAAGAAGCTTTAAAAGACCGGGCGGTTTAACATTTTCTTCTTTTTGCTAATTACAGCGCAAGACTGGCCCGACAATTTAGGGCAGAAAATCAGTCGTTTTGTCTTGGAAAAATCGCTAAAAGTTTGTTTTGCTATAGTTTGCTTAGCTTTCAGTTGGTGACTTTGTGTATTCTGGGAGCATCTTCGTGTACAAAAGAAGGTACTCTCAGCTGTAGTCATACTGTTAGGGCAGTTTCGACCGAAAACGAGCAAGATCGCCCTGATAGTGCCCTTTTGATATTACATCTAAATATGCACAACTTTTTCTATATGGGATGGGCAAATATGCAAATCAGGTAATTATACCGATAACCATCAAACGTTATAACTCTTTGATTTTAAAAATTCTTACAATCGTATCTGAAACAAAAAAGGAAAAAAAATGAAAAGTTTCCGGAAGCTCTCCCGCTACCTTCATCTGAGTAACATTACGGCCAAAAAAGTGTTTTGAGCTTTTTTGTGATTTACTAGAAAGCAATTTATTGTGTGGACTCTCTGTTCTCCCGGCTTGACGTTCCGCAACCATGTTTTGACAAGCTGCCATACCATAATTTAAAACTTGTGTTGATTAATTTTCGTTTTTGTTTGTTTGTTGTGTTTTTCTTTTGCATCATCTTTACAATTTTAAGATCTAACCAGAGATTTTTACGGCAAGGGACGCGCTGACCTAATGGTTAATAATGATAATAATAATAATAATAATAATAATAATAATAATAAGTACTAATAATACTAATAGCACTAATATTACTAATAACACTAATAATACTAATAATACCAATACTACTAATAATCGTATCTATAACAAAATTCTCGATCGTGATTGGTTCTCCGAGCACCTATTTGCCACGTAGCCGGCGCGCGATCACGTGGGTGTGTCATATTACAGGTATCCAATTTGAACTTTTTTGTAATTGGACGCCTGTAATTGGATACCCACGTGATTCGCACCGTGATCAATTGCGCGCGCTTTAACGGCTTCCAAAACTCATGAAATGGGCTACATACGTTTTCGCTCAAATTACGTTCTCAAACGGCATTTTTAACCCCGAAATTTGCTATAGATACGATTAAATAGTAATTGAACCTCGTGTCCTACAATTCAGAGAGTAATCGTGCTTGTAATTTCAAATCGGCCTCGCGCTTCGCGCTCGTCCGATTTTGAAATTACGCGCGCGATTACTCCCTAAATTATACTCCACTTGGTCCAATTACTATTACTTATACTCATAATAATAAGCTTTCTTTATTCATCTTCAAAAGAAACATATACGATGGATTTACATTATTTAAAGGGGAATGCATCTAATCAATGGGCTAAACCAAACCCCCATTTTCCGTTATCTGCTACCAGACTATAGTGAATAACTATTAAGTAAAATTACTAGTAAGGTAAGTAAAAAACAGATCATGATAGGAGGAGTCTTATAGCTCTTGCTAGCCATATTGAGTTATGGATGCACGCGGGCGGTTGCTAAGCACGAAATAAGCGAAATGAGCTTCTTGAGTATAGCTTCTATAATTTTTTGAGGACCCTTCTGTAAGCCACTCTGTGATATTGGTATCCTCATTGAAGATTATTACCCTATAACACTGACATTGACACACTGGAGCAAAAGAAGTCCTTTTATTAAGCTACATCAAATTAGCACACACGTCAGCAGCGTGCACACATGGGCAAATAGTTAACGAGGAATTGACCAATCAGAGCGCGCGTTTTGCTTTAGTTAAAAACATAAAGCGTGCTCAAAAAGCTGATGATAGTTAGAAGTTCAATCGCAAGCATGAAGGTCAAAACATCTTAGTGATTTCGCCTGAAATTAGTGTTTATATGTGTTCTCGCGGTCGCGTTCCTGCGAAGACTCGCAGGATATACTTAAATTAAGGTAATTCTCACATTTCCATTGCGCATCCTTACTGCGAATAATATATGGCGTCACTAGCGCGCACTTGTACACGAGCACATTGAAAACATGGCGGATTTGCCTTGATGTTGAGTTCTGTCAGTTGAAAAATGGCTATAGCTCACTAACGAGCTCGGGCACACCAAATTTTTTTTCCAGTCATTTTAATCAACAAATCATTAGCTTTGCGTGAGGAAAGACTGATCTGATTTCTATTGCTGAAAACTGAAGAAATAAGGAAAATAGCAGCTGCACTGTAGTCTTTTCTATTTTGCAGTTTGATAGCCGTGATATGTAATTTGGTTCCAATATTTAAACAAGGATTCAGCTGTCTGTGAAAACCAAACTTAAAAAGATTATTTGTATCCGACACAAGTATTGACTGTAGTTTGAGGCGTGTTTTCATGAGTCTGGGCTCACAAAGATTTTACAATAACTTGGAATGCGTTCTTGTAATAAGCATTAAATAATGCTGAAATGGGACTTTTTCAATGCCTCGCTGCTCCTTAACGAGCATGGGCACCTCCTTTTTTTATTTTATCCTTAAAGTTCTCATAAAGTAAATATTCAGTGGACAAAATTTGAACAAAAATCTATTGACAGTTTTATTTCAGGGGAATTACCTTAAATGGCGGACCTTAACATCGCGGACAGCATCTTGTTAACTTTCATCACTTGCCGCCAATATGGACACGTAACTTAAATAACATAACATGTTGCTCTACTTTACGATGCAGACTGCTAATTTTCGCAACTATTTTCGCAAATTTGTTCGCACGGATACTTTGCCTTATTGATAGCAGAGAGCACTGCTCATTGTAGCCGGTGCATTCTAAGGCGGCTGACTCAAATGTAGAGAGGCATCGCGAATTAATGTTCGGCTATATTGTGAAGCGTCCTTGAAAAGTTTTTTCGCTAATATAAATTTCATTTTTCTCCTGATCACCACTGCGAAAAAATTATCGTTGTAGCTATTTCCGTCAATTTTATATGAATTTTCAAAGTTTGTAAAATTGCCATTTTCCATGTTCACGACCGAGGAATAGCGGAGAATGCGACGAGTTGGCTTCTTATTCTAGTGAATAACAATATTTTGTTCCTGAGAAGAATATATGCGAACATGCAATAGTGTGTGTCAAAATCGTTGCAGAATGCGAGGGAGATGTATTGTTTGAGGCTGTAGCAATACAGGGTGGGTAGGATAGAGTATTCCTCTTCCGTCCATGCCTCTATCTCGATGAAACTCGACCAGAAACGAGGAAAAGACCAAAGAAGTGGGCTGATCTGTGCGAAGCTACAGCCGGGGAGCCATCGAGGATTTCTTCGATCTCGGGTTCGCCGCTACTGTAAAATCCTAGAGATTTTCATGGCCTGTGCATTCTTCTCTATCTCTAGTGGAAAGCTTAACATTGTCAAGGTACTGCATAAGACACGAATTTGGGATAAGTTGGAAAAAATCTCACTATTCCGACTATTCTGACTATTCCGAGCGCAAACGATCCTCCGAGTCGCAGACTATAGGTGAGGAAATTACACGGTAAATTAAACGAATCGCGTTTTTAATAGGCACTTTTCTCAACGAATACTAAAACGAAACCTTCGTTCTACAACGAGGGGATTAAGATTGTTCAGGCGTCGAACTGGTGAACTAGCTATGTATTCGTGGATTTTAATAAAAACACGCACGCCGGAGGTCGTAATCCGGCCGTGTTACTTAATGGCCGTTCCAAATAGAGAATTGTGTTGTTCTTTGAGCTTCGTCTTTGGGAAAGGAAATATATCTAAATTACAAACTTAGAATGAATTAAGCATTTATAAATATATGAGGAAACTGAAACAAACGATTAAGATTCGGCTCTATAGCTACCGACGTAGATTGTGCTGAAGGAATCCGCTTGTCAGTCAACCGAAACGCAAACTAATAAGTCGAGAACTCCTAGTTATTAGCGTAAGTCAAAATTAATGTACATTTCATTCAAAATAACAGTATTCATTTAAGTGATACTATACTGAACCTCTTTCCAAGATCTTGTCGAAGGATTTTCCGTGATTTACTAGTACAAAATATGCAGATTTGTGTAGCGTGTGTTCATACACAGTAATTGACTATGCATATACTACGGTAGGTCGACAATAACAATTAAAGCGAAAAGTTACCTGGATATTTTTTGCCGACATCTCTGCTTATCTCTTATGTTAGAACTATTTTCAGTCATTGATCTGGAGAAGTAGGCAGGAGTATAGGTTTCGACTGCATCGCATATTAACTTGTTTTCTGGGGAAATTAATGTTTGAATCTTAAAATGTTTTGACACTCCGAAATCTGCACGTTCCTTAAAGTCAAATTACCAACTCTTCGTGTTCATTGACATCTTTATAACTCCTTAAGAGCTCTAAGGTCACGGTATCCGTTTTCAGCAATTATTTGTACTTTTATAACCCAAATGGACCAGCAAATTATCGATCCTGATCCTGGCCTAAATTACAACGCGGCGATCACGACTGGCGACCCGCACTTCAAAATGGAAAAAAATATATATGTACATCGCAGCCGTCCAAATCGTAGCTAGACTTCGAATGGTAATGCTTGATGATACATTTCTTTCGTTTAAAAATCTTGTCCAGTTTTGATAAAATATGAATCACAAATAACCCAAAAATGTTTTGACAGCCCTCGAATCTCAGTCAAAATGTCTCTTGAGTGTTTTAGCCCAGTTCCCGAAGTGACGTTACTAGTAGCCCGACCCAGATCCTACTTTGCATCGTGCGGTCGTGAACATGGAAATTACATGTTCAAATGCCTGTAGAAACGCAAGGATTTTATCAATCGAGATACTTTTTTGCTGAAGTAATCAGGGAAACTAGTAGATTTTATTAGAGGAATAAAAATTTTTGGTGTTAGTGGCACTTTAAAGTAATCGACTAACCTATGAAACAATATGACCCAGGCTTTATATATATTGTTACAGTGCCCCGGCTAGTCAGTCACAGCTTTGTTTTTGTTTACAAGCGAGAGTTTGGCTATTATATTTTACTCGGAGCTTGTCGAAACGAAGGGAATCACTGTGAAACTACTCAAGATAATTAAACATACTTTCAGGAACATAACTTACAATAAGGCAATAAGATTTCGCCTCACCATGCAATATCAATAACTTTGATGGCATCGAAAATGGCGGAGACTGACTAGGGCCCTTTAAAGGGTAATCGCTGATTTCCCTCGTTGGTTTGGATTATTTACGAGGAAGAAACAGGTGGAAATCGTGAGCGACCGTGAAATGCGTGCACTATAACATATATATTTCTTTCTATCTTAACGTTTATCTTTTATCTTGCACAAAACCTCGCCAGCTCGAATCAGTCTTCCTCCTCCATCCAGCAGTCCAGGCCACTTGTAACAAGCAATCTCCTCTCCTTGATCTTGGCCGGAGGGTCTCAGCATCGTTGTACGCATATAAGGGCTGTTGTGATAGCCAATTTTGGTGTGAAAATTTTGCAGATACAAGGATTTGTATTCTATCTGCATGGGTGGGATCTGAGTAACCATTCTCCATGTCAGTCTGATGCACGCTTTCATGTAGGTAACAACTGTTGGATCATGTAGTATGTGCGTACTTGGTAAGAGCTGGAAATATGTATCCTCCATCTGCCACGCGCCCCACTTACTCCAAGCAACTTGCACAACATCCTGAAAGATCATTTTTAAATTCACGCTATTACAGGAAAGTTAAGTCAAGCAAGTTACTCCTCTTACACCCTATAGGCTCCTCTCCCAGTCGCATAAAGTAGCCCCCGTGGCTTAAAGAGGCTAAATCCCATGATAAGCCTCGTAGTCAACACCCGCCCGGAATACGAGTTATGAAGAGTTCTTTAAAATGATCCTTCCCATTTTAACCCTCGTAATGTGTGAACACACTCTATAATACCGAATCTTGCAAACTGATTCTTTCCCTGCATATTTTCAGCGGCGTTCTTGACAGCGTTCATACCCGACTTTGAAAAAAATAATTAATGCCAAGTCCCATATATGTATTATTGTATGTATCATCTATCTGTGTCATTTGTTTCGTTTGATTCCAGTGGTAACTGCTAAAGTGTTATAGAGTGTGTTCACGTGACGTCATCAAATTCTCAAATCCAACCTAAAGAGCCACTAAAGGTTTTATTCTCATCAGGCATGTGAGGTGCTAAATCTATATCTGTTTACAACTTTCCAGCTCAATAGCGTCCTTTGATTGGAAACCAGCGCATTTTGAATTTCGGGGTTATGGCGGTGCGTGACTTAAAGCTAAGATCGCGTTTGTCGAAAAGTATACACTTATCTCGTGATTTTTTAGCCACTTTTGGAGTTAAAGTATTAAGAAAAGTGTTTCTGTAAATGTGTTTTGGTTCGGTTCAGATAATCAGTCGACCAGATAGCCAAAGTAAATTCCACATGTTTACACTATTTTCCGGCCGCTATATTGGAGAACTAAGGACGTCCACCAACATGGCGGCTCCAAACTAAGCTCTATGATTTTGCGCGGAACTTTTCGACGAATATCTTAATTTTGGGACAACGCCCACACCTTAAACTTGGAGAACTGTCTTCTTTATTTATCGTCTATTATATCACGATTTCTTGACTTTATCCACTAAATGGCTTTTGATTATATTGTTTACTGCGTGACAATGAACACACTCTATTCCATACGCGACTTTCGGGTTTCAATTTTGAAGACGTTTGAAAGTTCTCCATGTCACTAAGGATGTGTGTCATCCGAGGCTAGCTGTGTGTTACAACATCTTTTACATGGGGGTTTGGGTCGTAATTTCAGGGCGTTTAAGAGAGTTACTTTTCTTTGTTTGAAATTTAAGCCAGAAGGACCTGGTTAGTGTGTAGCATCTTATCGCTTTACCTAAGAAAGGAGCAATATAGTTAGAATCTAAAATCTTTTCAAACTCCGAGATATGGCACATCGTCAAAATGACGATTCTTTTAACCTACTGACTAACGTAACGTTCAAGAACACTCTGGTTTTGTTTACCGCCAAATAATTAGATTAATCCAATATTCTTGAAATTGTGCTTTTTTTGGACAAGGTATAGTTCTGCACTAAGTTGGTTGTATTACAACTTTTTTGCGCTCAGTAGTTGTGACATGCGAATTGAATGAAAATGGTCGACTATTAGCCCAGTTAGAACTCGTTAGATTGATGTCGACGTGAAATCGATAATGTCGTTTTTCTCGGAAATACCACGATATTTGAAGAAAAAAACTACATACCGTTTTTACTTTTACTAAGGCCTACTTATAGGCAAAAGAAGGGTTTTTTTTTTTTTTCACGGGCCTTACGGAACTATATATTTTTATTTTTGTGGACATTTGCCCTTAAGCAGCATCTCTTCTAAGTTTAAACTAAACCTATTGAAAGCTCCGATATTCGCCATGAAAATGTCAACCCTCACGCCTATTCCCCCTATTCCTAAAATTAAGTCAACCAAGCACCCTTTCAACAAATATAAATTCATAACTTATCATCGAAATTTATAGTCATGTAATGAAAGTTCCGTGATATCTTGTGTGATGGTGTGCACATATTGTTCATGACATTTACCTTGTGTATCTAAATTTAAATTATGGTTTGTCGTTAGCAAAATCGTAGCACAATGACAGCCTTAAGTGGAGGAGATAATAACATACGTTCAAAAAGCAATCAAGGTTGCAGGTCGGTGCACTCTCCTTTAAATTCAGCATTAGAGCTTCCAGGACATCTGCTGGGTACTGTGATTCTTGGTGCCTCACGTTTACGGTAACGGGTACTATGAAGAAAGAATATCCCTCCTGTTGGGTTAGAACAAAATAGTTGGTTATTAAGTAGAAATTTTAGGGCAATCTTCATTTGGATGTCGAAAATCTAAAACCAAATTAGTTGCAATGGCCAATCACAAGAATGACAATCAACGGAATGAAACAATGAAAGCTCGAAGAAGATGTATTCAAACAGGGCACATCGTGCAAATCGTGGGAAAAGCAGCAATACTTAATCATCTTTGGGTTTCATTTTGCTTCTTATTGGTTTGGTGGGAGCAGGGTCTTAAATCAATTTCAGATTGACTGTTGGTATGCCCCCCTACATTTGGATAACTTTCCTCCAGTATCTTTATGGTTGAGCTTCTACATTATTTAGAGAAAATTTGAAATCCACGTCTCCGTATACCATTACATTCAAAGAAGTGTTCCAAACAAAATTAACCGATGCTATCGTTAATCCAATCATTTGATTTTCGAGACTCGATACCAACGGAATAACGTAATCATTCAACCACAGCTGTCATTCGAATATCAAATCTTTATTGGGTCACAGTGACAGACTCTCTCTCTTCATTCGCCATAATGGTAAGGGCAATTTGTGTGAATTTCTATTTTAAACCAGAGAAATAGTGGAGCCGACTGCAATCTGTTTGTTGGACCGTTGTATTCAATTCCCTGTATATCAAACGGCGGCACTGGAGTTCGTCTGGTTGGAGGAGCGCGCACAAAGGAATTCTGTCAGGTTAAAGCTCGAGAAAGGTGAATATATTTGTTAAACAAGGGGTGGGAATGATTGCAGTGAAGTTTACTTTCGAATCTTCGAGTCAAAAATGAAAACAATTTTTGATCAATAAAATGCTTCGCCCCATATCTGAGCAGAACTCTTCAGCCATTTTGGCCCCATGTTCATGTTGTCCTCATCTCCTCCATAACAATTAACATGTTTCAATGCATGACACACCGTACTGTACACAGACTGATTTCTTTTGGTCGTCGGACCGGTCTGTTTGATGGCTGTTAGTTCGCTGATTAGTAACTCTACGTCACAATATGGTGACTCACTTTTGCCGCTTTACCTTTTCATAGAGGCTAAATTGTCGGCTTTGTTCTGGAGCTAAGTTAACCACACCTCTAGCCATCTCCTTACAAAACTCAACAGCGGCTTTTCTTGCCTCTACCACTCGTTCGTAGGCAGCCTGAAAGGAAAATAAAACGATGGAACGATCTTTGTAAATGTCTAACTAAATCATGCAAACAACTTGTAATTCAAAATACTCAGTTCACACTAAGCAGCACCACGCTTGTACACGAGAATCATTACCATATTTTCCTTCGACCGACTACCAAAGTCGAAATCTTTTCCATTTTAAATTTTTTTCTATGATTCCAAGAGTGGAACCATGGACCGGTAAAATACGAGGAATATTACCCTAAAGCACCGATAAAAAAGTTTTAATTTACTCTTGCTTTCTCGTACTCGATATGCGGAATTTAAGTAAAAGGCAACCCCAGTTCAATTCCAGTAGGAGGTGTTAAATAGCTGTTTCTGATGCAATTTCCTCAGTCGATTTGCGAGGGCAAAACGTGTTCAGAGCCAAATATTTAAAAACAAGACGATGCGACGGATTTTGAGCTATTTTTTGAATACCCGATAAACAAAATGTAACATCTTTTTTTTAGTTTGCGAAACATTTTACTCCGCATGAATGTTTAACTCATTTCTGGCACATCAAAGATGGGCGTGGCAAAAGGCCATAAGGTTAATCATTAATATCTCAGCAAATATTTACAGGAGAATAATCTACTCTATCTCATTTAAAAAAGCATAAAAAATACTCTCTAGAAGAGAAAAGCTCTCCTTCATGGAAGCTAGTAGTAATTTTTAAACAATTTAGATAAATTAAACTTCGCAAAAAAGAAAAAAGGAAAAAATGTAAAAAAATATTTAAAAGATGCATTTTCACTCCACTGGTCAAATTTGATGAACAAATAAATCATTTTCCTTAATTTATCAGCAAACATATCCTGAAAACAGAGCGAAAAACCATCGAAACCGAAATTTATTAGATTATCTTTTTTTACCTAATTAAAAATCTCACATTTCCGTTACCATGGTGACACTAGTGGAATATTAACTCAGATCGAGTTACGCGTCCTTTCGAAAAGTGTGTTTACTCAACGAAACAAAGCTCTTTTCTAATGTTCCTGAGCTCTACGATCCCAAAAACGATTCAAGACACATAATTCAAGAATTATTCGAGATTGCAAACGGAAAAACGGCGGTCCGAAGGGAATTTAGTTGCATTTGCACAACATTCCTGGATTTGCGTAGCACATGGCGAAGGTCATGCAAGCTCACTTACCTAAAATTTTCGCTTCTGATTTCTTGCTAACCGTAAAATTACATTCGTATTTACTTCAAATACCTTTAGGAATGTTGTCCGCTTCCGAAAAAATCTTCAGGACGTTGAAATCATGGACATAGCTCGCTCAACGAAAGGCGGCCATTTTGACTTAAAATTGTGTGATTTCGCAATGTCGTCATGTAGGCCATTTTGAAGCATTCCACATGAAACTAGCCATGTGCTTAAGTAATTATCTCTAGTTTTATGTCCCCAAATTTCAGGGGAAACGAAAATAATTCGATTTTTTTAGAATTTTTTTAGTCATCAATTCTGAAGCATTGAAATTTATAGAGCGTGACAGGAAAGAGTTCAGAGGCAATTTCTACTTCCTGAAATTTTGAGGTGAGGTCATAAGGGTAGATTTTGTGAAAAAAGCATTCCTGTTGTTCGGCCATTTCAATTTCAGAAGGAAAAGGAAACAAACAGCGGTTACAAACATTACAAATAGACATCGCGTGGTCTAAAAATCTTTAAAACTGTTTTAAGGACTGGCTCGATACAGCTTTTTCTGCACCATACCTGGCATTTTCAATTACTCTGATCGATGTGGAAATTACACCAGTTTTGGGAAAAGGATTGAAGTTTGGTTGAATGTGTTTTTTAAGATAAATTATGTTAAAATTTCAGATGTGTGTGTAACATTCTCCCGTGATCAATACATTTCACTACACTACCTGAATGCATGTTTGCGGGATGTTTTTTTGAATAACTGATCGTGGGGACTTTTGGCCCTTCTTTTCATGCCAGCGAAAGGACTATTTACAAAGGATTCCAAAATCTCCACCTCGAGTGACAAAGAACAGGTAGGTATTGGAGAAAATAATAATTATTCAGAAGAAAAAGGGCTAAAAATTGTGCACAAGTACTCTTGTCAATACCTTAAGTCAACCATGGATAAAACGAATTATTATATTTTGAAATATGCATCAACGAAATGTATTGATCACGAAGGAATGTTACACACATATATCTGAATATTTTAGCATATTTTTTTTATATATCGGGATTTAATAACGCAACTTTTTCGTAGGCTCGAGCGCCGACTTCATAGACAAATTTAAAAGTGTTCCAGTGTATCAATGCTAATGAAACTTTGGAAAAAAAAATGTTAACATTACCAGGCATACATGGTTAACGTTCTAAAATAATATATCGAGCCGTTTTTAAAATTTTCGAAAAAGCCCTAAAAATCAAAAGTCGTTCTAAATTTATTATGGAATTGACGTTGAGAAAAAATCTCGTTCTCCAGATCAAGAAAACACAAACCAACAAAACTGTCATGGCTTCAAAAAATAACTTTAAGGCACATTTTGGTGTCTTTTGGAGCAATGTCATTGACATAGTGTTCTTCTTTCAGTCCATTCAATTTCGTTAAACAAAAAGCATGATTTGAAATGTTTTCGCGATTTATTCCAAATCAAACATACAGAGTTTTTTTTTATTCTTGCATATTCCCCTTGTTATACGTCGTAATATTAGAAATTGGCATCAGCTTTTCTATAACAGATCTGGTTCGTACAAAATTCAAGCTTTACCGATTTTCATTTTCCGCTTTATCGTTTCCATGGAAATATCGATTATCTCAAAAAACACATTCAACCAAACTTCAGCCTTTTTTCAAAAACTGGTGTAATTTCCACATAAATAATAATACATAAAATAAAACACTTTAATAGCTGACACAATTACTGGTAACCCAATAGTTTACATTGTGGGCTATATAAAAAAAAAAAGAAAAAAATATATATTTAGTTAAAAAATGTTAAAATATCGAAGAAGTTAAAATATAATACAGCATGCACATAAAATGTACTCGAATATATTACAAGACATTTTCAAAACGTTCTAGAGACGGTAAAATGTTCACGGTCTGAATTACTTTGTAAAAAGTTGTTAACTAAAAGTTTCTTAAAGTTTCTTTCACGAGTGATCGATCAGAGAAAGGGAAGGTTGGTAAAACGCCAATTGAATATGCTAGGTATAGTCCAGAAAATTGTATCGAACTACCTTGACTTGCCGTTTCGTATGTTACAGCACACGTAAACATACATTAACCGTCACTTCTGAAGATATAATTATTTCTATTCTTAAGCCAGTCTTAAGCGCGCGCGCAGATGAATAACGGGGCGTGACAGCGAAACTGAGTAAACACGATTTGCTAAACTGAGAGAAAATTACAAAACGAACCTCAAAAATTAGACATGCTAGTCTAGGGTAATAGATCTCCATGTAAATTTTCTCTTTTGGTTGACAGAGTTTCTGGAGTCTATCAATTACATCGATCCTGGCTTCGTCAATAAATTTGGCAAAGTCCTCCTCCACTTTTGACTGTCTGTTCAAACTAAGCATGTCTTCCACTTTTGACTGATCTTGTTTCACTCGTTTTTCACTAAGAGTGGCAAGCCTACAATGATAAAACAAAGACGAACATTATCTATATATGGCACTGCTATGCCAGGTAAGGGTGTGACCATCTTTACTAGCCCTATTCATTTTAACGTCTGTCAGATCTATTCTACCGTTAGTGACGTGACAGACGCAAATTGTATTAATTAAATTGGAGGGTTGTCCAATACACCCAACTAGAGTCGATTCGTCTCTGGAGTTGACGATTCGACTAACCGGAAGTCGATTCGAGAACCCTCTTTGATGGAATCGACACGAATCGTCTCCCTTACTGTCGATTCGTCTTACCGGAAGTCGATTTGCGCAAGACTTAGAAAATATAGCGCTATGGGGCTATGCAAAGTGGATTGAAAATGTTGTCGATTCGACTCAATTCGATCGAATCGACACGAATCGTCTCCCTTGATGTCGATTCGTCATACCGGAAACTTAGAAAATATAGCGCACTCACTCCATTCTGATTAATTTATTTATTAAATTCATTTTGAAATCACTGGTTATCCTTGCAATCTGATTGGCTTTCAGTAGTGCGATTTATTCACGAATCGCACTATTTTTTGCTCTAAATCGCATCTTTTTCTCAGCCAATGAGAAAAGGAAAGTAAAACAAA